ACTGATGAGAAACAACGCTCTCTGAATAAAATGCAATTTCAAAATGCATACGTTTGCTCTCTGTATTATACGAAGTCTTGTGTGCTTACGACCAGAATAACACTAATATATCGACGGTGTTCTATATTAGAGATAAAAACAAGACGTTGCTTATATGTATATCACTAATATAAGTTTGGCTTATTTGTCTTCACTCGTGTCCTTGAAATAACTATTTATCAAATATGTTTGAAATACGTTGTTTATTTCATACAAGTACTATCGTCTTTTTGCTTGTTTGATCATTCATTAAAGTATATTAATGAGATATCTGATTTTTATCTTATGAAAATATTATTCTCGTTTTGCTTGTTCTATCATTAATTAAGATATTTTAATGAGATACATGGTTTTTTCCCCATAAAAATATTATCGTCGTTTTGCTTGTTCTATTACTCATCATGCGAACAGCTTAAAGGATGCAAAATAGTGTGAACCAAAGGCAGAAAAATGATGCACCATAACACTACTTTACTTGGTTTCTTACCATCATTGCAGTGTATCAATAAAATATTAGTATTTCACAAGCAATACTATACCACTCAATACCATGAGCCTGGCTGAACCAAGTCTCAGATGTCCTTTCCATATATGCGAGAATATATTGGTTTTTGACATTACTTCTAGGAGCTTTTCGTGTTCGTGACCATGTATGTCGTCAAAGATCGAGATCCAGATGCATTTTTGGCCTCGGTACCAATATTAGTTCTCTTGTGGAATCGTTCTCAGTCGTAGCATCGACCCAGATCTCAATTTTAATATATGTATCGATCATCATCTTTATTCACATTTCCATCCTAGTCGCCGTGTATATCTTTGTTTCGATTACGATTGCCATTCCGGTCATGATTCTCATTTATATTGCACTTCAAGCCGTCATTCTGCTACCAATCTCATTGAGCATTCGACTTCAGACCTGATTCCAAGGCCTATCGCGCTGGCTGTGTGTAATGCGAACTCTGTCAGATCTTACTTCTTGTCCAGCTTTCAGAGTCGATTTCGTGACCCACTCAGATTTCACTCCTGGTTCTGCATCCATTACGAAGCTTTTCATGAACCGGTACTCATCGTCGTTTCAGCTGCGATTGAATTACTGGTCTTAGCTTCCAACTACATTCGAGGTTTGACCACCTTCTCAATTACAGTGACAGCTTCGGACCTGACTAGAGTGCTCATCTCGAACGTATTTCGAGACGACTGTCCTGGCTACGTCTACGTACTGTTCAGGTTTTGATTAAAAGTTGCGGAAGCTACGCAGATTTCAGTTCTAGTCGATTTACTGGTCTTAGCTTGTGCCCCAGATGGACAGTTGATTTAAATCGACAGTTCACTCCCAGTTTCAGTGGTGATTGAATTATTGGTCTCAGCTTCGATCTGTACTTCAGAGAGAACCTAGAGGTTCGGTCAAATTCTCAGCTACAGTATCAAACTTGGACAAGATGCTAGTGACCATATTGATGATAGCTTTGAGACATGGATTCTTACGTTCTTCTGGTACTCTACCGGAAATCAGACTCAGCCAATACTGGTTGTCAGAGACTCATCCATTTTCACCTAAGCATTTCTACAATTCCTGTGAAGCTAAGCTTTCCAGTACAAATAAGTTTTTTTTTAATCAATCTCATTATAAAATAATGCTGGATAAAGCTTTCTTATGCAGCGAGAATAAGCAGGAATTGGTTCATATAAAACCATCAAATCTTACTCATGCGAGAATGAGTAAGCTAAGTAGAAAGAAGCTATTACTATCATTACATCAGGTAACTCTACTTACAATTTCAATACAACGAGCAGAACAAATGATAATGTTATATACTCAGTGATCTTGTATGAGACGTATATATCATTGACAGTATATGCATGATTTATTTTCAACTGCAATTTATTGATGCGAAAAAAAAAGAGTCATTTATACTTTCGCATGACGTAGATAAGAATGCGCAATATGAAGGCGTCACCTATTGATTCTATTTTGTGCTTGTGCAAAATCGATTCTCTTTCTTTTGTTTACATTCCACCTTCCTATGCGTGATCATTTCGCGTGGAGTCACATTAATGTTGATACTATCGATTATCATTGTATAATGATCAGAGCTGTTAACGTTTTCATCAATATTCGTTTACTGAGAATAAATCTTTATGGGTAACCTGATGCATATCATAAATTACGAAAGATTAAAAGTATGATAGCAATGCTTGTTAAATTTCCTTTTTGAAAACAATCATTTCTACTTGAATGAGGAAGAAATAAAATAATTGTCTGACTGAAAATTTTTGTGATTGATCAGAAATGATTGATCGACAAATATCAACGAGTAAAACTTTTCTACTCTTAGATTTGTGCAAAATAATTACATAAAAAAAAGACAATTTGTTAATCGCCACAGCAACGTTAATTTATACGTTTCCTCATAATATACAATGAACCAAGTTTATTAGACGATCTAAAGATATATTTGATGATCAAGCAATCTTAGATAAATATTCAATGCTTTTTAAAATAAAACAATGTCGATTTAGAATTGTTGAATCTATTATCACACTCAACCATGCCATCGTATTTGGTTACTGAATTGAGATAATTTTTTTAACCAGATTTCAAATCAATATTCAAAGTCTTTTGGTGATATTCTGTCCAGGGTTTCCGATTGTTTTTGGGTTGGTGGATAGGGCTAAAAAATTGGCAGAAAGTCTATAATTTTTTCGCAGTATTATTCTTTTTATTTTATGTCGAGACTCAATCTACAGCTTTCGTTATTAACTAAAAATCTTCTACATATAATCAAAGAACCTCATCTATTTTGATAGTTCTAGTTTGTGTCAGCGGATTTTAGGATACGGATATGACTGTAGATCATCCCATAATCAATACACACAGCCATACCCATATTATAACTAGGTGATGGGTAGTTGTGAGATGTTAGCCTTCTCAATACCTATACCTACTGCCACCCTCACAGTGGCACTGGCATTGACACTGACACCAACAAGCAGACACTCACCCTCACACACAGTTACAGTCACACTTATACCCATACCCACCAACACACCTACCTACATTCACATCTGTAATCACATTCGGCAACTATACTAGAGAAGACAACACATTAGTAATAATGAAACCATTTCAAACATATATCTAGAGATCGTATTGGGATAGGTAATAGATTATACTAACGACCTATACGAAATTCATGACTCATCTTCGACGATCTCACCTTCATCCGATAAACGATCATTGTATTTCAGAACAACTGCATCTGAAATAAATTAGCAGTTCTAGGCCTTGCGCTTCTGACAATAAAATATTTCTTTCGACGTTTTATATAAAATTATAATTCTCGTTTAGTCATATGATTATCTTTCTTTGTGTTAAACCATGGTAAGAAGAAAGTGGTAAAGATTCAAGCATCGTCCACTTTTACAATCGCGGCAGTAAAAGTAGCGCAACAAGCGATGCAACATGTGCAGCAACAGACCAACAAAAAGCCCACCAATTGAAGGATTAATATAATAAATGAAAAATTATAGAGCAATGGATCACAATAGGTTGACAACGCTGTTGAATCAGTAAATTGAACAGAAGACTTTTTTGGAAATACCCATACACAACCCTAAAGATTTCATACGTAATCAATTAATATACAACATACTGAGATAGTGTAGGAGTGAAAAGTAGCGTTTTTCAAAGAAGAAACTTTGAAGATTTAATATACGATAATGAAAAAAATGTGTTTTTATATTATCGACTTATTTTATTCTCAAATTCGAATCAAGAAGTCAAATTTCAAGAAATCTCATATAATCTAGCCTATGAGATAGTTAATTATCATAGATAAAAGTTAAAAATACTAACACTATAATAATTTATAATCTATCTGCTAAGATTATTTATTGTCAGTCTTCCTAGCTCTACATCACTGACGTCTTAGACAGGTTTGGGCAAGGGGGAAACGGCGGATTTTTGGGATTGCCAATCCTTGAAAATCCATAAAAAATCCGTAAAATCCCAGAAATCCGTCAAAAATCCCTGAAATACAATTAAAATACGAAAATCCGGAAAAAATCTCAAAAATCCATAAAAAATCTCTGAAATACAATAAAAATCCATGAAATACATTATTTAAGTCAGTCGCATATGACGAACATGTTGTTTGTTTGATATCGACGAAATCATATTTTTGCATATTTCACTTAAAAAAATTGTTTGTGTTAGATAAAATGTGTCTAAAACATAACAATCTTACAAGATATGCTGTAAGCTAGAATGTAGAACGCCTTGTGACAGTATGTATAAAGACAAAAGAGCTGAGAATATGTTTGCTATATAGGTAGCTATCAGAGTGATCGGTTATCTTCGATACAAAAGCACGGAATCTGAACTCTCCTAAAGAATAATTTGCAAAAAAATTTACAAAATGTATGTGAAAGAGAACTTTTCAGGAGTACAAATACTGATCGATATATCGTCTAACTTTCTCATCATAAACTAATCAGAACAACAATTTATTTTTGTTTTCATCAACAAAATTTCAAATTATAAAATACGTGTCATTATCTACTTTCGATATATCTTTATCTGAAATTAGTGTCAATCAATGCCTTTGCAGACTCTTGACACATCCATCTTACCATCTGATGCCCTCTCTTTCTATGATAAGAGTTTTTACGATTTGGTGGAAAATGTTGCAGGAACATCTGAAGCTAAATTAATGGAAATCCAAGGCATCAGAAGTGTTTATTCTTTTCTTCATACAGAAGATGTGTTTGAAATTTTTAATATTTCATGTTCTGCATTAAATATCATTAAAAAATCCATCTGTTTTGAAGCAGATGACAAAACCTTCATTGTCAAACCAGGTTGTCGAAGCAATATTAAATATCTTCAACAGTTGCTGCATCAAAAACACGAAGAACATTTAAACGAAATTTCTAGTAAACCTAAACGCAATAAACATTCGATGTCGAAACAAAATGGGAATAGTGCTATTGATAATACTCAAGATTCAATTCAATCAAAATCAACACCTTCTCAACAGAATTATACAACATCATCGGGTTAATTTTATTCTAATTTTTATTTTTACTCTATTAGCTGGGACTTTGCATACTAAATTGATAAATCTATTGTAAAAACTTCAAAGAGTCAGACACTTTTGTATAGAAAATTTTTTATACTGCGGAAGATGTTTACTATATGATTAGAAATGTTTTTTGCTTTGATTCTATCGATAAATGTTAATGCAAATAAAAGTATTTCTGCTTTACCTTAAATAAAATTGCTGTAGCAATTGAAATATGAGCTATAAACTTTGTAATCAAAGTTTAGACTTCTTCCATATCATTCACCGACATTATGAGAAAAAAAGAATTGTTAGTCTGATTTGCTAGTAGCTAGTTTAATCATGTCTTCGATTGATTGGGAAATAAACAATTATTTTGAATAAAATATATTAATTTAGATAATTTGAACACAATTAATCATCATGATTTTATAATTCATATGTTGAATGAATGGATTAAAAACAATGCTGCTGAATTTGATATTCCAAATGGGAAATTAATTGAGAACGAAGATTTTCGACTTTCAATTGGTGGTAATAAATCTGATATATCAGCATCTATATTATGTTCATGTGGAATTAATATTCAATTGGGCAGTATTCATGGAAACATTTCCTTGAGTAATTATTATAAACATTTGAAATCAAAGAAGTGTATTAAAAAGAAGAAAATATCGAAATACGTTAATGATAAATCGAACGAAATTGTCGAGCAAGCATCGTCTGATGCTGAAAGACCACAAAGTAATTCAATTTCTGAAGATATACAATGTCTAGCATCAACTATTTCTATTGATAAACCTGCAACCATGGGTAAATTATGTAAACGAACAACTGATCAAGATAATAACAGTTTCTCAAAAAAAAAACGTGTTTGATAATGCATTTATATACATGTATTTATTTATCATTAGTGAATATTTTATTAATTCATTTATTTATATTTATTAGATTTTCACACTTTTGTTTGTTCATGTGAAATTTTTTTTATGTATATTACTGTGTTTTATTTCTATCTGCTTTCTATTTGAATTGATTAAGACAAAAAAAGAATTCATACGATTTATTTCGTGATATATCCTTATTCAATACGTTCTGTTGTCTATTAGTTCAAATTGTTTATTTAACGGTCAACTTGTCCTTGATGAACTTTTAACGGTCGAATAGTTAAGAAAGAAGAAGATCGATTCTATGAAATTCAAAAAGCATATTTCAGAACGATTAACTTAATCTCTCTCGTTCGTTTTTGTAAGCTAGAAAAAATTTTAATCTATATTTTCTCTTTTTTTTCTCTGCATATATATATATCGAAGACTTTTCTCTTCAAAATCATTTATTATCTGTTACTATTCGAAAGCTTACGCATTCAGATAATTTAAACGAAACAAATCTTTTGTTTTTTTTGTAAAGAAAAAATAAAAAGATGTTTCGTACATTTTCACCTCTTGTTTTGCCTGATGATATTCTTTCTTTCGAAGGAGAAGGATTTCTCGACTTGGTGAACAAAACATGTGGAGGTATTTTTAAAGAATTGATGGAAGTGCTTTCAATCAATACAGTATACAAATTACTTTTGATTGAAAACGATATTCTTTCTGTCTTTCAGAAAAAATATCTAGAACTTGAAAAAATAACAGAAAGACCCTGTCTTCATCTCGATGATGGTAGTATCTTGCTTAAGCCTGGATTACGTTTGGATTTTGATCGTTTTATTGCAGCTCTTCATGCTGTGAACGACAAGAATCAACACCAGGAACGAACAGATAGTTCGAATAATGATTTTCTTTCGTTGTTTAAAATACTCATGAAATCATTTCAAATAAATGAAGACAAAGATTCAAGAGACAATTTCTCGTTTCTGTTAGTTTTCATTGAACATATTTTGAGTAATCTTCTCAAAAATAAAAACAACTATCAATACGATGAAGCTGTACTGCACTTTGCACAACCATTGTACATATGGGGAGGAAGAAATGCGTATGAATTTATTCGCATGAATCTCCCAGGAGCACTTCCATCTTTGTCTACCTTGAATGATAGTCTCAAAAAAGCTGGAGGATGTATTGAAGAAGCTGGATTTCGATTCGATGCCCTTCATGAACATCAAAAGTCGTTGGACTATCAGACAGCCGTTTGTTTCGAAGACTATATTGGAGTGATAAAAAAGTTCAAATATAATGCTTCAACAAATACTTTCAGTGGATTTTCAGTTCCATTGAAACATGGTTTGCCTGTTGCTCGTCATTTTCAAACTAATTCTTTCAATCAATTGAGAAATTGGATTGAGACGGAAGATAAATCATCTTACCTCAATATACATATGGTTCAGCCTCTGTTTGCATCTAATCCATATTCATCGCCATTTTTGTTAGCTGTCTATGGGCTTAGCAACAAGTTTGAAGCCGTTGATGTTTTACATCGATGGTTACGGATTTTTGAAAAATCTCGAGAATTGAATGTTCGTGTTGCTGCATATTCTACCAATTGTGATTCTCGATACCTTCTTTCTATGAGACTTGCTACAGGATTTTTTGCAAAATATAATAATATTGCCATATGTGATCGTGTTGATGCACTTGAAATCGATTTACCACAAGAGTGGAAAGCTTGGTTTTTCATGCCGATTCGGCAAATCCTTTTCTGTTTTCAAGATCCAGTACATCTGTGTACGAAACTTCGTAATCGTATTCTTTCTGATACATCCTCTCTATTGATTGGAAAAGAAGAAGTTTCAATTGAAGTATTGATGGAACTGATTGAAAGTAAATCAAAACTTGTTCATGGTCTTGTTCAGACGGATGTCAATCCGAAATATCGACAGAATTTCACATCTTGTCTTAATCTCTCAGATGATGATGTACTTGTAGCATTGGAAGATATTGAAGGTTCCCAAGCTACACGGATTTATTTGCGTCTTTTACGTAGTATCGTGTTACCGTATGTGGAGCACAATACACCGATTATTGATCGTATTTATCATAGTTGGTTTGGAGTTTTTTCGTGCCGTACATGGCAAACTTGGTTACATGTAGTGGATGAAACAGAAATGCCAGAATTCCATACTGATGAACGAATAAATGATATGTTTATCACTACTACAGCACATTTCTCAGTTGAGCTCAATGCTCATAGTTTACTTGGAATTTGCCTTCTTGTAGCACAAAAACAACTACCTGAATCTGCTCTTGCTATATCGAATTGCCATTCACAGTCGTGTGAATCTACGTTTACACTTACTAGATCGATGTCAGGTACGTTTTCATCAATAGTGAATTTTACTATTGAACAATTTCTTAAACGAGCCGGTAAACTTTCGGTGCTCACCGAAATAGAAAACCAGAGCGGGTCTGGTCAGTTGAAATGTCCACTTAAATTTCCTAAACATGACAAACGACAATGGAAACAGACAATTTTGAAAAAACAAACTGCTGATTCATCTATAAGTCTTCTCACGATTGATAAGATTCGAAAAACTGTCTATCGAGCATTTGATAATGGATATAATCTTCTCTCTACAGTTGATGTCAATACTGTTCTAGAAAAAAGAAAAAAATTCGATTTCTCAAGTGAGCTCGTTTGTACGAGCTCAGTTTAGCACAAAATTTTAAAAAGTCTCGTATAATGGTGTTGAAACATATTCGTCTGACGATGAATATGATTATAAACATAAAATTGATCCGTCAGCGAACGTAGAGGAAGAACACACATCTGATGATGAAGAAAATGTATTCTCTGTTTCGGCAAGTGGAAAAACACATTTTCATGGGATGAGAGTATACGATAATATACCTTCTTCGCAATCAAATTCTTATTTTTGCGTTGAAATTGACGGAAAACAAAAATTCATTCATAAACAGGCAGCTTGCTGGCTTTTAACCGATGAGAAAGCATCTCTATCAGCTGATCGAGTTAAACGGGTTCAGCAGGCAAATTAGTAAATACTTGGCGGAATAGTATAGTAAATTCTATAGGTAGATAAATAGTTTTTGTTCTTTCTTTTTCATTTTTCTGATTTTTGTTGTGTTTCTTTGCTCATTTTTTTCAATAAAATACGACAAACTAATATCCTCTGGAGTCCCAGTTGGTTTGATACCCGTCATAACAGGTGACGTATCTAGGCAACTGACGATGCCAGATTTCTTTTTACTATGACTTAATCTATTGTCTCTCATTATAAGGTTCTGTGCAAAACCTCTGAAGTACGACCAAAATCCCGAAAATCCTGTAAAAATCCCTGAAATCCCGTAAAAATCCCTGAAATCCCGTAAAAATTCCTGAAATCCCGTAAAAATCCCTGAAATCTCGTGAAAATACCGGAAATCCCGCGTAAATCCCAAAATCTTCTGAAAATCTTATGAGAATCCGCAAAATCCTAAAAATACGGAAAAAATCCTGAAAATCCCGAAAATACGCAATCCGCCGTTTCCCCCTTGGGTTTGGGTTTGTCTATGGGTGAAGAGAAGATTCATATCTCTTCAATCATAGTCAGTCGCTCACAGTCATTCGTAAGATTCAATTACGTACCACGATCATCCAACACATAGTGAGTGAACAGAACAAGAATATTATAATTCCCAGTATAATATATACTTTTGTTTTAATTGAGTTTGACAAAAGTGCTACACAACATAATTTAATGAAATTCTACAAGAAAATCATAACAAAGCGTTAATATATCTTAATATTTGAATAGCAGATGTACTCTTACCAAAACCAGAGTAGCAGTCATCCAAACTATGCTTGCAGCACTTGTCACAATCAAGAAAAGTGGAATTCTTGGTTCCATGGGACATTTATCACGCTTTATAATGCCGATAGTTAACATAGTAATTGGCACAGCCAAGGAGATAATATTCATTACATTGAGGAAAGATAAGCATACAATCGAATCAACTTTAGATAGTAAAGATTCTTTACTACCATGATATCTTGACTGTTGTTTTAACTTTGATGATATGGTATTCTAGATAGGGATACACATCGTCAGTGAACAAGATGAAGTTCATTATATTACCACTTCCTCGATCAAAACCATCTCGGTAATATAGAAATCTAAAATTTGACATAAAATGAATGATCCACAAGCAGTAGATTTTAGAAAGAGAAAACGGAATAAAAAAAAAACAATTTTTGATCAATTCTAGCGCTAAACAATTCAGAAATTATGATTTAGCCAAAAAAGCAATATTTGCAGCTCATTCAGTTTTGCAAAATATTCATTCATTTTATTTTGAAAATATATTATGTGTAGCAATCTAACTATTCACAACAGTATTCATCCAAGTTTTGAACACTGATTTATGAGGTACTGGTACATTTATGATAAATATATGATACCATCCCATTCGTTAGCACAATCTAATATGATTGACTTCAAATAGGGTATATGGTAAAATTAGAAGTTCAGCTTTCTATGCAAGCTCTAATAAGATAAATATTTTCTTCAAGGGGTTCGATAGCACTAATGCTGTTTCGCATGCTTCCAGAAAATTAAATTTGAATAGCACTGTATGTTTATTAGCTGTCGAATGTTTTTCAGCAAAGTCTTGCGTTACATGTTAATGGAAAGAAGTCGATTGCACGGTGCACATTTTCAATATTCTCGACTTGTCTTTTTTTTTACCCATTTATGTGCTTTGATGTCATCATAGTGCTACGATAGTTATTTCGTCGAAATACATGATTCAGATATTCATGTAAATGCATATATAACACCACCGTAAATACTGCATTATCATTATGTAACACGCAGTGTAGAATTGGGTTTCCAATGTATACAATTTAATCAAATGATCAACACTACGTTTGTGACTAAGTGAGAAATTTTTGAAAAGTGTGGTGACTGTATCTGATCCTTTATGGTGTAGAGCAACAATTTTCTGTTGAACAAATTCCTGCAAAATTTTATAGCTTTTGCCTTCGATTTTATTCTGAACCAATTTTTGGAGGATGAATGGATGAGAAATAAAAGCTACGATTTGCGCATCTGTTGCTTTCTTAGTCGATGCATGTCCTTAAACCCAATTATCGAGAATATGTTTAGTATTTACCGTTGGTACAAGTCGAAATTCATCATTAACACGAAAGAAGCATAGTGAAATTGATCAGAATCAGGGTGCTTGAATAGATTTCGAATTTGATCATTCTTAGCTTCTCGATAGGCAGTCATCTTATGCCGATTTAAGGTAGAACGATCACAGCCACGATCAATGAGCATTTTAGCAATTTTCTTGTGGCCATGAAAACAAGCAGCATGCGAAGCTGTATTGCCATTAGATTGCAAAGCACTGATTTTTTCATAAGTCATTGAAGATAATATTTCAGTGACTTTTTTCATATCGTCACTTCAATACGCTCAATAGAATTCCGATGCTACGCTGGATTGAGAAAATACAGATTGACACCCACTACTGATGCGAATGCAACCATCTATTCCTTGACTTCAGGTTGATCTCTGTTCTTGAAAAAGAGTATATGCCGATATATGTGTGACAGATGACTTTAAGATCTAAGATCCATTTAAAAAAAGATCGATGGATATTTTTCGAATAACTTGTGATAGAAAGAAGATAGTGTTGCGATTTTCACCGTCGAAAAGAGCAGATGAACTCGCATCGAATAATATATTATAGGGTCTCCTAAAATGTTTTATGAAGTTTTTTTTAAAGTGTTAGAAAAATGATTTCTCATACAGTAAGAAAAAAGCAAAAAGTTTTTTTTTCACAACAATTATTTGAAAAATCGATCGATAGGCTTGCCCAAAATACTTATAACTCCTGCACTATTAAGTTCAAAAATCTGAACCTTGCGTAGTTTTGTAGATCTTCCATCGGCGGTTCGGATACATACTTAATAACTGAAAATTCATTGTAGTCATCTCACAGGATGTGTTGGTTTTCAAAGAGGACAATTGAAAACTTTTAGAAAGAGTGGGTAAAAAAAACGAATATATAATTCGATGTGTCTTCGTCTTCTCTTTCGAAGAGTGGCAACTGTAATTCTCTATCATATTTCTGCCAAAGCTTATTAAAAAACTTTCTATCCGTATTGTTTTTAAATAGATAGGTAATAGTTAAGTTTGGGATGCAATATCCAACATAGGGAAGATCTTATAATAAAATCACTATTCCTTGCGACTGTATCAAGTATTACCAGATTAGTCAGTTCTGCAACCAGTATTTGTATTATGTAATTTTGAAGATCTAATTTTGAGTTACCTTTGTTAAGAGACTTGCGAACATTCATTTTTCTGTCCTCAAGATGCACTCTAAATACTTATCGAAAACGTGTCCTATTCTCACGTATATTGCTCATTGATCATCTATAACTTGAATGCACATCGACATTTCAATGTGAAACTATAGCAGACGCTTGACCAAATTGCGGTGTATTGATTCCGATAGGAATTGATAAGAATCTAAGAAGTTGGAAATTGAGATAGGACACGTGCACAAGTCACTTGTCCAGAGACTATTAGCCATCAGACTGGATGAAAATACTCAACAGATCTGAAATGGCATGTTTGACGATTTAATTTCAAAGTTCATCACAACAGTATCAAAATATTCATCTTATTGAGGTCGTTTTCGCCTTATGCAGAATACTACGACTTAAAAAATTTGTAGACTGGTTTTTAAGGTAGAAACTAGCTATTATCAAACTATAGAATATCCTAGGAGTTCTCTTTCGCTCTGTCTGATATTCATGAGTTTTGTCACAGAATGTGCGCTTACCACCCTGGAGATATGGTACCGCAACCATTGAGCTTCTAACAGTTGAGTCACATGAAAGAACCTGCGAGAATTGAATCTGTCTTCATGGAGCATGGCTCAATACACGAGATAAATTCATGTGTGTCAGTCGATTTAATGAAACAATAAAGATAAATATATGATGATACCTACCAATTAATTTTAGAAGTCGCAGCTCGTATTACCCAAACACATGATTGTTTCAGGAAAGAGTTAGTTCTTCGAAATCTGTTTTATTTATACATCCATATACCCTTTTATCAAACATAGGTCTTCTTAAAAGACATCTTACGATATATGAATGTTCAAGATGAACCATTACGAGATTGTATTAGATGAGACATTAATCTAAGCTGATTTTTCAATTTACATATAATTTTTAAGTTTGTAGTCAGAATATCTGAGCCAATTTAAAAACCTTCTACCAGATTTGTGTTTAAAACAGAAAATTACATCGAACATGAAATAAAAATGTGTGCAAGGTAGAGCTACATTGTCGAAAAGTTTCTGTCGTTTAAATGATCTTCAATGTTTGTTGTTTATCTCATCAACTACTCACCTTGTTGTTTTGCACAACATCGATGCTTATAAGAAACGTGTTCAATTCAAGTGAACTAAAAAGCGTCCATATCTGGATGTAAATATCAATGACAGCTAAAGTTTAGCAGAGCTAATATATCAAAGGATCTTAGATAGATAAGGAAAATAAGAATTTGATATAACGACGAGCATGTGAAACTCTGCGAAAATATCTTATAAAAGAATAAATTAATGGAAGTTTTGTAAGACTGTGTTATTTTCAATAAGGTGCTTCACAAAAATTGCTTCATCCTTAATTAAATTTTGTGGTAACTTTCCTAATTCAAAATATTCTCCATAATATTACTACTATGAGAAAGAATTGTTTGATCAGCAAAAGCAAAGCACACTTACCTGTATGTAAAACGAATAAAATAACAACTACATGAAGCGTCTATGTTATCTCGATATCATTAAAACTTTAACCTCGGTTTTTTACGAGAAAAAAAGAACAAATGGCAATAACTGATAAGTCCAAAGGAGGCAGTTTTTTTTAACAAAGAAATCAACGAAACAATGAAGAAACGTGCATCTTTTACATATTAATACAATAGAGCAATGATTCACTGTTTCACAGATAAGATGATAGACGACAAACTACCTCAAACAACTAAAAATGACTCTTACTTATTGCGTGCATTCTCTAAATGATTTCAAGTGAATTCCATTGGCTCTATATGATTGCAGTTTATCCTATTGCTTCTATATTAGTTGAGTCAATATTTCGCTAATTTTCACAAATCATGTACCCTTGTGTCCTATTTTTTGCATATTAGAAAAAATATTACGTTCTGTATGAGCGTCATGTTGGCTAGTCTTTTTTGTTACGAAGAAACTTCGTTTTTTAAGAGTTGGCTTTGTGAACGACCAATACTTCACCTTCCAAAATATGCAACTTTCTACGAAAATTCTCAATACTCGGTGCCAAGTTTTTTATATAGCATCATGGTAACTTTGGATGAAAAGCGGATTTTGAAACAGCATTTTCTTTTTCTGACAGAAAAATGGAATAAAAATAATTAGATACTGTCGTTTCGAGATGAATAAGATTCGGACAGATCGTCGGTTGTGAGATAGGCTAGGTCATGTGAATTTCGTTCTTTCGTCACCTGCTGGTCATGACTTCTAGCGATCCGAGAATAAAAATACTTTCTGCCAAACTTTTAGCTGTTTCCATTCATAAAAGACATCGACGACTTTACTACGGAGGTGTAATCCAGCATCCAACTTCTGGGAAATGGCAACAATTGATAACTGTGCACATTAATGAAAAGTTGGAAAAGCTCCGTTAGAGTTTCATAGGAGACACCATGAGAAGGTGGGTTTGCTTATCTCTCGCTCTGTGAAATATCCGACATAAATGACAGATAATAGCAGAAGTTTTTTTTCTCGAGTGTGCGCGTAGCTGTGCTCGTGAATGTCAATGTGGAATTGAACATATGTGCTCTTCTTCTAATCCACATTCATATTCGAAATCTTACCATTCTATCCAACTTATTACTCAACAACAGGAAAATAGAATCAAAGCATGATGCACAAAGAGAAGTTCGGCAAACATTTATCCATAGTATTCCATCAACTTTATTTGCTTCATAGAAGATTTTTTCAGCTACGACTCAATTGAAAACTATCATCTGATGAATGACTTAGCCGATACGTAATCTGGATCATGACATGATAGACATACTCACATTCTTTAGTTGCA